TGAGCACTTCGGCAGACCTTAGTTCTTTACCTGGAGGGTGACTGATTCATACCTCACCTCTGAGGTTATTTATCCTCTGTCTGGATTGGGTTGTTGTAGTTCTATTGATCTTAATCACAGAACATGGTAACACCAAGAGATGCCATAAAGGATCTGCACTCCAGACCTACTCTTCTTTACCTTTCCCCTGGTGTCTGTCTGGTCACACACTTCTGCTAACAATGGAGTCCTGGGGCCAAGGAAGTCTTAGCTTCTTGCTCTTAGCTTCTTGCTCAACAGGATTGTTGGTGTGACCTTCTAGAGTCAAGATTTCCAGGCCAGCAGAACATAAGGTTACAGGAACAGGAGGCAGAGAGATGAGTGCTCAGTCCATTTTTTCCTTTTCCATTCAGTTCAAGACCTAGTCCATGGTGATGGTGCTACCCATATTCAGAATGGATGTTCCCTCTGTTATAATTCTCTGCCAATAGCCACAAAGCCATGCAGAGGTGTCCAAAGCCAATTAAGTTGACAATAAGGAGTGACCACAGAGGGCTACCAAACAGATCATAAACTGGGTCATAAATCAAGTTTCCAAACAATATCAACTTACAGTATGTTCTCTAATCACAACAAAAGTAGAAAACTTCCAAATGTTTGGAAAAGGCAATACATTTCTCCAAAAGAGAGAAAGAGAATGAAAATCATAATTATTTTTTAAATTTGAGAAATTTTATCGATTCAAGAATTTCATGCAACGAATTTTGATTATAGTCAGACCTCTCCCATCTCTATCCTTATCCTCGCACCTCCCCCACCCCCAACTTTGTGTCTTTTATTTGCAAATGAAAAACCCCATCCATCTTACACTTACATAACACATCTGAGCTGGGTATAGAGAAATCATATCTCAGAGTATCAGCAACCCATAATTCTTACACTCAGATGTGCCAGAGTAAGGGCCCACTCCCTTTCCTTTGTATGTGGTTTTGGGTCAGAATATGTTCAGGTTTCTTGGAATGGGATTTTCACTCTTAATTTCTGTTTCTCTAACACACTGCTTAGAAATGCCAAGTAGGGATTTCTCTTTTTCTCAGCAGTCCAAAACCGTTTGCTTTTCTCATCAAAGTTGGTTGTTTGCAGCCTTGCATGCAGGTTACACTTTGGCTGTTTCCTGGACTCAGCACAATGGACCAGCACTGTGGACCAAGGCGTTCTCCAACAGGCTGATTCCCTTCAGGGTTTTACTGTGGGCAAAAGAAGCTAGGTCCTCACAGTAGGCAGCAGTTAGCTCAGAGGCCTACAATTTCAAGAGTCTCTAAGTGGCAGTTGGAAGGTTTCACGCTTCACAGGACAGCTTCATACCAGTGTCCTCTAGTTTATATTCTGAAATGCGTAGACTTCCCAGATTCCTAATGTTGTTGAGGACTGCAGTCAGATATTGACAGTCACTGTGTGATGATTATGGTCTGCTGACCATGGGTGCCACTGGGGTGTTGGGGGTGGCCAGTTGGGCTCAGCTCCACCCCGCTATTGTGTATGGGCAGCCATGCGGCCTGGCTCCACAATAAGAATGAAAATCAGAAAAATTTTAACTGAATTGCAATGAAAATACAACAGCCTAGAACTTACATGCACTTATGTTGTAAAGCTGTGCTAAAGACAAAAGTTTATAGGCTTGACTACAGATACTAGAAAAAAGCCATTAGTGGTAAAACTGTGCACTGCTTATCAACAGGGAGAAATGCGTTGTTAGGCCATGTTGTATGAACATCAGTGATTTATTATTTATCCCTTAAATTAACTAAATTGCTTGACACAAACTTTGATGGCATAGGTCAATCACTTGGTGTGGTCTCCTGGTACGATGGAGACATAGCCTACAAGATGTCAGAGGCTGTTGTCCATGCCACACCGCAGACTACCTTACAGTAGTAAGACTACCTTACAGTCTTTCTCAAGTGGAATGAGCACTGCTAAAACAACAGAAGTCTGGCACACTGAGTACCAAGTCAGCAACATAGCTACTAGTTATGACCAAGTGTCATGTATTGTATACTGCTGCCCATACTGTGGTCTTATACGACTGGAAGGGCAGGAGGTTTGTCTGCATAGCATCACCATGCAAGTGTAGTGATATGTTTGCACTGTGGTGTTTTGATGGGTACTGTGTCACCAGGTAATGGGTTGTAATCTATGAGGTTCACTGTTGGCTGAAGCTACTACCTGGTACATGGCTGTATCACACTGCTCTTACCATAAGGTAACACTCCCCATGTGGCATCAGAGTCTTATGCAGCCCCTGCTTACTTCTAGGAACTTCATCTTTGTCTCTCTCCTTTCACTTTTTCTTTAAAAATTATTTTTTTATTTGTATTTTATGTGTCTGAGTGTTCTGCCTGCATGCATGTAAGTGCACCACATGTGTGCAATGCCTGTGGAGGCCAGAAGGTGTCAGATCCCTTGGAACTGGAGTTAAGATGGTTGTTAGCCATCATGTGACTGGTGGGAACTGACCTGGGTCCTCTGAAAGAGCAGTCAGTGCTCTTAACTGCTAAGCAGTCTCTCCAGCCCCTCCTCTCACTTACTCTCTGGCCATACTGGTCTTTCAATTCCTTAAATAAGTTATGTAATTTCTTTTCCTTGGGCCTTTGCACATGCTAAAACCAGTTCCCCCTTCCTTCTTCTGGCCAACTTCTCATTTCACAGGGGTAAGTTTAAATGTCATTTCCTCAGAGAAGCCTCTGAAGAATCTAAGCCTAGGCTAAGCCTCAGTCTACTTTTGACCCAAGCTCTGTCTTTTACAGCACTCATGACCACAGTCATGAGTCAACATTGGCTTGGAAAACTGCTTGCTCTGCAATTCAGCAGTACCATTTGTTATTCCTCAAATGCCAGTAGGTCCTTGCTGGCAGAGGCAGAAGCTGCCCTGGCCATAGGTGTATTCCTGGGCCTAGCATGATACCTGGTGATAGGAGCCATGCTATATGTGTAAAATGGATGAATGAAAATATGGACATTGAGTTTGCCATCTAAGTAACGGTTCAGTTTACCCAGATCTGTTAGAGATGCTCCACTGTCTTGCAAGGAAACTCCCAACAGCTCCTGCCACCAGCAGCTGGCATTCATTCCGGTGACATTTACAATGCAATTTACAATCATTTGCTAATCCAAAAAATCTCACAAACATTCTTCCCCTTGATATTTAAGGAAAATACTTTCTAACTTTGCACTGTTTACTACATTAGGGAAAGACAAAGTATTTTGGAAACTCTATCAAATCTCTTTTCTCTACCAAGCAGGTGCTATGAAGTGATTCAATGCCTGCCATTATTAACAACATTTCTTAGTACTGGCTTAAGCTGAGTACTATAGATGGGTGGGTCATAAACAACAGACATCTACTTCTGGATCAGAGTTCTGCAGGCTGGACAACCCATGGGGCCAGGATTCAGGCGGGCACTATGTGGTGAGGCCAGTGGCCTTCTTCATGCATGAGCAATGCCTCTGTTTTCTCATAGTAGAAGTTGCAAGGTAGCTCCTAGGGTTCCTTTCATAAGGACACTGATCCCACACAGACTCCATATTCATGACCTAATTACATCCCAGAGCCCTAGCTCCTGCCACAGTCACACTGGGCCTGGGTTTCTGAGGAGTTGCAGACTCAGCCTCTAGCCAGTAGCCATCCTACCATCACCAGCAGCTGATGATGATATTCTAACCCTTCTGTGTGAAGACCTGCTGAGCCATCATGCAGGGCATGACAAAGTGTCTTGTTTGGGGGCAAGAAATGGAGGCCTCAAAGAATGGGGTGCAGTCAGTAAGTGCCGGCCTGAGATCTGAGCCCTCAGTAAGGGCAGGGGCACCCTGCCATCTTTGACCTTAGAGTACATATGCTGCTTAGGCCTGTGGGGGGAGGGGGCAGTAGCCTCAGGGCTGCTGTGTGCACTCAACACTTTTCCTTGTCTCCCTCCACCAGATGGGAAAGCCCCACCCTCTGACATTCCTGCATTCCTATCCTTACTCTAGGACTTCAGGACCTTTGTTTCCTGTCCCCAAACTGTTCATTACTCAGTGCTGCCCCTAGCTGCAAGTGTTTCACAGGGGAACAAAAGTCCTACACATCCCTATGTCAAATGCCATACCCTTGGGCCTGTTCTGACTCTATATCTCCACTGTCCTCCTGGTTCCTCCCACGGTTCCCCACAGCATTTGTACAAGTACTTGGTCACCTTGTTGCTATCCAAAGCCCTCTGATATTTTCTTCTCTAGTGCCAGATCCAACCATTTTGTACTGTGAAGGATTTGTCTGGTTGCTCATCCTGACTCACTGGGAGTGAGAGATCACTGAGAGACTGGAATGGCTGGTGGGAGTTCTTAGGCAAAGTCTGGTCTCCTGGTGCAGAGACTCTCCTCACACTAAGGTATGGCTCTCCTTCCCCAGATACCTACACCCCGAATGACTGAGAGTTACATTGACACAGATAAGCCCACACCTCCCTGTTCCCCACACTCTGGCTCAGGGCATTTGTAGACAGTGCAGGGGCATGGCAGATGGGACAGAGTAGAGCCCCTGTTCCTCTGGGAGCACAGCATGGCCCATCCTGAGGATCAGGGGCCTGGGCCAGAGGAGCATTATGTGTTCACAAGGAGAAGGGAGCTCCCATAGTGGACATGCTGAAAACCCACACCGTCCCCTCACAAAGTAGAGGGCCAGCATCACCCCTTGCCTAGCTAGATTACAAAGCTGCTGCTGCTCCAGTCATGGGCAGAGAACATTTTTGCTTGTCAGCTTAGCCTACTGTAATGTGCCAAGAATGGAAAGAACCATGTGCTACTCTGGGCAATTACGGATGGCCAATGGCTACCTCTGGCCCAGGTAAGGGGGGGCTGAGGAACAGATGGCTGTCTTGTTATTAGAGAAATTTGCAATCAGGCAGGTGGTGGCAGGCTTCAAGTAACACTAGGGGATATTCACAAACATAGGCCAAGTTTACAAAGAACAATAAACAAATTCTTACGTTATTGTGCTCTCCGCTTTTGAGGCTGCCTCATGGAATTGCTGGGAAGACAATTTATACATCTCGGCATTCTACAAAGAAAAAAATCACAACTGGTTACCAAAGATCCTCATCTCTCTCTGGCCGACCATGGGTCCATCTGCACTAGAACCGGACAGATGCTAATTTCTTAACTGGTGCCAGCACAGCTTGGGTTCTAGCTCCCACCAAGAGTTGACTGCCACAATGGAATCCCAGAAAAGTAAGTTCTGGAGGAACACCACAAAACCTTTAGGCCAGGAGTGGCAAGCCACAGGTCATAGGCAAAACCTTCTAGACACCTCATTTGTAAATAAAGTTTTACTGGCACATGGCCAAGGCATCTGTGTCTGGATGTCTCTGGCTGCTTGATGCTATAGGAATAGTGGAGCAGCTGTGAAAGAGACTGCATGGTCTACAAAGGAAAACCATGCTGAGCTTAATCTACTATGATCCCTATTGGACAGGTTGACTATACTTCCCAGAGAGGTGAAGTGACATGCAGAGGGCAGTTCCAGGGATCCCCAGGGTCTGGATTCCCAGGCTGGGGCATGCTCCATTGCTTCCCATCTGGGGTCTGGAGCTCTGCGGGACATACACTTTGTCCTTCCAGACATCACCCATCATCACACATATTCCTGAAGCATCAGACTGGCCGGGAGAGAGACTAGGAATGAGAACAAGTTAGCTGGTTCTCGATCCTGGTGCCACACTGTGATCCTGGGCAAGTCGCTTAACTTCTTCCCATCCAGCAGGTGAGTCACTCCTGGACATGCAGGCCCAGCCCAGCACTTTCCTCTCTCTAAAGTTCTAGCATTTTCACTTGCTCTCAGAGGAAACAGACACTGCTATCCCTGCCATGTCCTGATGCCATGCTCCAGGAAAGGCCAAGCCTGGAGACTGAGACAGTGAGGGTCAGACCTCCTGAGCAAGGTATGAAGCCAACAACAGATGCTTCATGGGTGTGCTGAGGCCAGGGCCTTGCAAAGCTGACTACATTCACTCCTCAAATCCTCACATAGAAGGGAATCTCTGTTTTACAGATAAGCAAACAGCTTTGGCTTTATCAGTCCCTGCAACAAGCTGGTGTGACAGGGAAGGAACTGTGGAGCTACAGGGCTTGGATTCCTTGCATGTCTGTCAAGTTCAGCCTGGCTCCATCTACCTGCTATGCAGACACCTAACCTGGCCCTGCTGAAGAGAAAGCAGCACACCAATCTTTGGATAGACAAGGAGAAGTGAGAAGTCCATACTAGAGATGCCAGGAGAGTATGATATGGTGGCATGGAGCCCAACTGGGTCTGCAGGAAGGGAACTAAGGCAGAGGACCTCCCCTGGGGACCCTAGGTGTAAAAGCAGGTCTGGGCTGGAACCAAGACCCATTTCTACCTACTTTGGGGATTCCCACTACCCACAGTCTCAGGGAATGTCGGCTGAAGTCAGCACAGAAAGGGGACTTGAGGGAGAGCCTGGGGGCTCATAGCTACTGTCGGGGAAGACCAGGGTCTACTTAGGGCTGAGCAGGTCATCTAGCCTGTCCCCTATAGTATCCTCCCTCCATACCAGGGATGCATATCATAAGACATGCCAATGACCCTAGCACACATGAAATAAACCCAGGTCTCTTCCTTGCAGCCTGATGATGGCAGGTCTGTGCTGATGCTGGAGCCAGGAAGGTTTCCTGCTTCCCCATAAGTCCCTGTATTCATACCATACCTGTATTCTGCCTCAGTCATACCTGTATTCATTCATTCATTCATACCTGTATTCTGCCTCTGTCAGCCTGATATTTCCCATCACGACTGCCCTGGGTGAGAGTAAGGACAGAGGTAACTGAAAGGGTGCCTCTGTGTCCCTCCAGCAAACACTCTTGGGTGGCAGCCTTGGGATCACTGAGACTCTGCTAGAGCTTTCTGTTCTTGAGCCTCCTGAGGATGTGGCACGGTTTGTGGGCCCACAATGTGACTGTGCCTGGGTGTGTGCTAGCTACAATCTTTGGGAAACCCACGTATCCTCTAAGCTTTGTTTTTTCTTAACTGCAGAGTGACAGAAAGTTAGGTGCACAACTCCCCCTCAACCCAGACAGCACTGTTGCTGCTAGCCATTGTACTTTCTGAAGCTGAAAAGTACCTCATTCCAAGTTCCTGCCATGGATTCTGGTCTTTCTTCCCCATAAAACACCCACCTGGCTCAGACTGTCTCTTAGAACCTTTCTTCCTGTCCCTGTGTCCCCAGGTTCAGGCCACAGGCTTCCAGACCCAGTCACTTGTTGACATGCCTGGTTGTGGCCTGTGCACTACGAGCTGACAGAAGAGGCCTCAAGTGTCTCCCTTTGAATGGTAGGTAGCACATAGTCTGCACCAGGAGACATGGAGCTAGGTGTGTGGTCAGCGAAATTTGTCACAGGAAGAACCCACAGGCCAAGAAGTGGTTATTGCCACTCCAGTTCAGCTTCCTCTATTTTTCTCAGGATGACAGGTAGCTCTGTGACAGATAACTTATTGAACTTGTATTTTTCTCAGGATAACTCAGAGAAAATTTCCACTGCCCCTGTCCTTCCTGTACAGACCCACAACATTGGACTTTGTCACAACCACTGTCCCAAAAGCACAGGCAGGTCTCCAAGCCACAACTGAAGAGTATCATGCCACTTCCTTTTTTGATGAACCCCCTGGTTCACCAGGCCTCCTTTCTTGGGGACAAGGACCCTCTATAAATCATCACCATCATGGGGCTGGTCAACTCCTTGTTTATCCTGCGATCCCTGGGGAATTCAGAGACGAATGGAACCCAGATAACACTATGTGATGGGATGGGGGGGTTATTCGGTGCTGTGGGGCACCTTCTGGGGCAGCCTGCAGACTTGACAGGCCAGCCTGTCTTCTTATACTTGAATTTAACCAAACCAAGGCACCTCCCCTATACCTTCTCTCTGGTGGTGTTAGTAATGGAACCTATGACCTTCTTTGCTCATGATAGATTAGAACTCTATCACTGAACTGCATCCTAGCATCAAGGCACATTTTTTATTACACAAAATAAGGTTTTTAAAAACATAAGCACATATTTTTTTCAAAAGTGAAAGCAGAACAGAGGAACATGGTGAGTGTACTGAGGCTTGGATCCTGGCCCTGGCCCATCCTCCTCTCTGCACTACCCTGGGTAAGGCCAAGGTATACTTTTGAGTACTCTATGAGGGTGCACTTTGTGAAGGAGCACAGTGTAAGGGAGCACACTCTGAGGGAGCACACTATAAAGGAGTACACATGGATGAGCACATTGTGAGGAAGCGTACTGTGGGCAACCACTCCATGAAGTACACTGTTGGTAAGCACATACTCGTGCCCCATTGATCCTGACACTCCCAAAGAAGCAATGAGCCTACCTCATCCTTTTAGTTTTCAGAGACCCCCACCCCCTGCTTTCTACTGAATATCAGTGCTCTTCAAAACACCCTCTACCCGAAGGCAAGCAGCTCCCACTATGTCTTCTGGGACATTACACTCTCCCACTGCTGCAAACAGTGCTGAAGAGAATGTGTGGATACCTACAGTTCTGAGCATGAATGAGAATATTTATAGGGAACATTCTAGAAGTCAAATGCTGAGTCAAAGGGTATATTCCTTTCTAACAAACTATAAAGGATAAACAGACATTAGCTAAATGTCTCCAAGGCCTCATCAACAGCATGAGAGACCCAGGGGCAGTACATGGTACTTAAAGAAGGCCAAGGCTACTGCTGACAAATGGCAGGAGCAAGGGCCTAAGAGGTATAGTAGGTACTGGGGAACTCAACTTCAGGCTCAGAGCCTTGGTTCCTTCAGGGCAAATGGGAGGTGGTGGTAGTGAATAAAGGCCTGGATTTTTGTTTTGTGTTTTTGAGACAAGGTCTCACTCTGTAGCTGAAGCTGATGTGGAACTCACTATGTAAACAAGGCTGACCTCAAAGTCACAGTGATCTTCCTACCTTAGCGCCTGAACCACTATGCCTGGCTAAGGCCTTGCTTATTAAGTGAGGGAATAGCAGGATAAAGCCCTATTTTTTTTTTTTTTTTTTTTTTTTTTTTTAAAAAAAAAAAAAAAAAAAAAAAAAGAGGACGATAAATCTTCTTTGCGCCGCGACCCCTTTTTGTTGGGTAGGGCGTTTTTATTAAGGGGGGGGAAAACAGGGTAAAACCCTTTTTTTTTTTTTTTTTTTTTTGGTCTTTTTGAGACTGGGTCTCCCTGTAGCCACAGCTGGCCTGGATTCACTATGGAGACCAGGCTGGCCTCGAACTCACAGAGATCTGCCTGCCTCTGCCTCCCAAGTGCTATTTTTAAAAGGACAGTGGCAGCTGTGGTTTATGTCCAGTTCTCTCAGAGAGGTCATCAACATTGGAGGGTCCTGGAGTACCACAGTCCAGGGCCTGGGAGGCACAGTTGCTGTGGAAGCTCATGGGCTGCTGGAAGGCTATGATGGGCATGTACCATTCTCCCAATGTCCTCCTGCTGTCATCAGTCCACACCATCATGAACCGTTAGTTTTAGAGACTTCTCCTTCCCTTAGAGTCCTTAAGTTCCCACTTCTGGATTCCCTTTTCCTCTGCTCTAGACAGCTGCCCCTCCCCCTGCGTCTCCAGCTGCTTCTTGAGCACATCTGAAGGCAGAGGGCCTGATCTCCATTAATTAAATCTGCCATTAAAAATTAAATAACGTGAGTAAGAAGGTGTGAGTATTATCTCTGTGGGTTTCAAAAGTCACAGTGTTTCTTCAATTACTTCCCAAGCAGTTTTCATATTTCATACCATCTGATTTCTCCAAGGGCCTGGATTTGTGAGATCAAAAGAAAGTGTGAGGGTGAGAGGAGCAAGGTGGGAAGGCGGGAAGGGGAAGATGGTGGCGAAACATGTCATGGGCAGGAAAGATCTGCTTTCTGTCCAAGGCAGAGCCAGGTATGGAAGCAGAGCAGGGGAGGACACATAGGACAGAGGCCTGTGGCAAACCCACTGAGCATAGCTCAAGTGAGATCCATGTGTCCATGTTACTATGAATATGAGAACAAGAGCTTAATATT